ATGGATCCAGGGGCTGGCTTTGAGAGGATCTGACTTGGAGTCTGCTGACTTGGTATGTGAAAATGTTGGAGAGTTACACAGTGAAGAACTTGGTAATGGTTTTGCTTTTATCATAATGCTACCTAATACTAAATGTTTTAAATAGTGACATCCTAGTCTTCCGTAGTCAACTGAAATGAAGGGTGTGGCTTTCACCTTGGTGTTTTGGTTTGAGTTGTTTGTTTTTTAAAGCATCCTTCTCTTTGGAAAATGACAATTATAATTTGTGGAAACGTGATTTGGTTGCATTTATTATAAATTATATACCATTAACATGTTACAGGGGTGCCCAAATGAAGGTTAGGTGCAGTTTTAATTACAAAATTTGGCTGTTGACTTGGTCAAAAGTCTTTGGTTTTTCTATAGGATGTTGAAATTTCTAGTGAGCCTCAGTACATTGTAGCTTTTTGTTCTTCCCTATTAGAATAGGGTTCTGTGTGCACTGCGTTCAGCTCATAGACAGCTTCATATTTTTCATGCCTTTTCCTACTCGTGTAACTTGTGATCATAATCCGTCCTCAAAGCATCAACCAAAATTTGCAGCTGAGAGATTTATGATAAGAAAGGAACCCATTGATACAAATTGAATGGTAAAAGAAATGGAAATAAGGGAAAAGCCTAACTCAGCATTAAGCATGTCTTGATTTAGAAATATTAAACTGGAGACTAACTTTTTGTAGCCTATACATATTCCTCTGCTGAGGTGAGAAATGCACATCTTGGGGGTACAATGCTGTCTTGAAGGATAGCCTGGCTTCTGAAAGCATGTGATTGGAGCTATTAGGTATAGAATGATAGAAATGTGTAATCTTGGCCTACTTTTGAGCTTTTTTTTTTTTACAGGTTTAACTTGTTTCCATCATGAAGTTTGTAGAATGTACCAAAACCTGCTTGCTGTGTTTAGAATGTAACCAAGTTAAATTGATACAAGCTCTTTTTTCTCCTTCAAAGCTTGCTGTTTCTACAGTATTTCACTTGTATTCATCCAGTGTTCAATGTTAAGGCTTTACTAGAACTCCTGGGGTCTTTACTACCAGATGGTAGTAACAGGGGAAATTTAAGATCTATATTAATATATTGTCAATTTATCTGTGTGTTCTTACAGAAAATTAATCAAGACAACCTAATACTTAGGTATAAAATCAGTAATATAACTTCAGTTTTTATTTCTTTTGTTGTTAAAGGTCTTCCATATCTCAAGTTGAGAAGTTCCATATCATACTAAACATGGAGAAAGAAGAAAAGAAATTTGTCAATAAAGCAGAGGAAGATGAGATGGTAATGCATTCTGTTTGTCTATTTTTATGCAGTGAAAGAAAACATTTTCATAGTTTTCTCTCTAAATGGGACATATGCCATCAGGAATTAAACTGTCTAAGTTTAAATCAATTTATCAGTTTTATAAGGTTATCCTTTATAATCTTTTTTTGGTATTAAATCTGATCCTTGGATAGAGTATGTTTTTATTGAAAGCCTTTGCAGAGGTGATGGGTTGTCTGCATTGCTCCATAATCTGACCGTGCTCTGCATGCTCTTGCATATTCATATTTATGCAGATAAGACCCACTCCCTAAATCATGGCAAAGAATATTTTTGTTAGCACATAAACTTTGCTTCCTACTGGAGCAATGATATCTCTTATCACTTGTTCTGGAAGACACAGAAATTAGCTTTGACAGGAAAATAATAACAGCTGATATTTAAATGTCTAGCCCATTTTAGAGACAGAAGAAACTATTTGGGGTATATAAGAATTTTTGTTTTAAAAAATAGTAGATTACTGCAAATTGAAGTCCTTCTTTTGTCTTTGTGCATGCTGCTAGGAAAACCTGCACATTGCTATAACAACTCTAATATGGAGAGTAGGAAAATACACCTTACATCAAAAAATGAAAAAAGAAATGCTTATGGTCTGATCACTCAAATACTTTTTTGAGAAAATAGTTTCGTTTTGCCTCAAAAGGACAATTAACCTCTCCCACTAGCTCTCACCCACCTGCTTTTATCAGAAAGGAGTGAAACTGGCTCTGGTGTTTTGGGGATAACAGAGAATGGGTTTTGTCTACTTTGTCAGCTGAGAAGGCTGTTAAATAAAGTTGTTGAAAAGCCTTTTCTTAGAAAAGGAGCTTAAACAATTTCTGATACTGCTGAATGAAAAGTACAAAAGAAATTGCAAAACATTGGTGTCAGTATGAACTGAGGGTGGGACTGGGTGGGAAATTCATTGCCCGTCTGCAGCAGGAAATATCATTTAATGATGTAATGTGAAACTTGGGAATATAACAGTGTCACTGAATTATTTTCTGTTCTTGGCTGTCATCACGTTGTTAGTACTTGCCTTTGACCAAGTCACACTTAATATGTAGTAGATTTTTTTTTTTATGAGAGAAGTTAAAATTAGCTGGTGCAAGTTACAGATCCTTTGACAGTGTGACTTAGAGTTTCTAATATTTCACAGTAGCTTCCCTTGTTAAATGGCAGGCAAAATAAGTCAGTTTCTCTGCTAAAACATAGCATTCAATAAAAATATTTACAGGCATGCTTAGAAGTTACAAAATTCCTCTAACACCAGTAATTCAAAATTATGCATGCTAGATAATTAAATGCTGATGTGATAAAATCAACATCTGACAAAACTGCATATGCTTCTGCTCTTAAATGCTTTGCTGATTTGTGCTGTGTCATAGTCAAAACTCTTGAGTGTTCACTGAGAATTCAGGTAGGTTGTGTTGCAACTTGCGTCCTTGGGGAGCAGTTCAGAGAGGAGACAGGTCCTGCAGTGAAATGTTTTAAACAGTGTGGATGTTCTACCTTTGTCAGGCTTTTACTGGTATTTGTATTTCTAACTGAGCAAAACAATGTTCCTTTTGTTGCCACTCCATCTATTGAGAGTTTTTTTTTTAATTCCTCCAGAAAAAATATGAAATTTGATTTGCTCTAAATGCCACACTCTATGAAAAATTAATGTTGGTTTCCTGAGCCAGAGTAATTAAGAGAGTCATTGTTTTGTTTCTGGTTCCATGCAGGAGATCTATGGCTATGATCTGTGTCGCTGGAAGCTGGTGCTAGTTACTGCAGGAGTGATCTGTTCTGGTGGCTTCCTTCTCCTCCTTCTCTACTGGATGCCTCAGTGGCGCGTGAAAGCAACGTGCAAAAGGTCTACACTTAAAGACTGTGAAGTGGTTCTGTTGAGAACAACTGTAAGTCTAAAGGAGGGTGCACTTCTCCCAGTTTGCCATGGTTTCACATCCCTCTTTCTGCTTGTTACATTACAAAAATCTTTCCCTGCAATGTGGATGTGATTTTGTTTTATGGCACAGCAGAACTGTGCTGCTTAGTACTGTCAAGAGCTTTGCTGCCCATATGGGAAGATTGACAGGTGCTTGCAGAGGACATGGCAAAAAAAGTCTTTGCTTTTGGGTTTCAGGAATTAAATAAATGAATGCTGTTGTCATCAAAAGTTACAGAACAAGATGCCTTGTTCATATAACCTGAGAACATGATATTCAGGTTTTCCCTTCCTTGTTCAGCAAAAAGACATTTGTTAAGGCATAACTAAACCCAAATGTGGTTTGATTTCAAGTGGTCTTCTTCCTCCACAATTGCTGCATACAGTCCCTGGTTATGACCTTGTGTGAAGTCATCAGTTATTTGAAGTTGCGGAGTGGTGCAGCTGAATGCGTAGGAATCAGATAGTTCTTCCTACTACAGAACAACTGTAAATTATGAAGGGCTGAAGATGTCAAAATTCAAGTACCAAGACTCATTGTTTAAAAAAAGAAAAAAAAAAAAAAAAGCTTTTAGACTTGTGGAAAGAAAATGTGTTCTTAAGGTAGCTGATATTAACCTGAGGGTATCTTCTGTAGTTGTGTGTGCTTTACTAATCTGTTATCTGTTGTCACATTTTGCTACAGATGTTGTAGTAAAATGCTGTTTAAATGCTGTTTCAGCCAACTAATTTTTTTCTTCCCCTCTTTTTAAGGATGAATTCAAGATATGGTTTTGTGCAAAGGTTCGCATTATGCCTTCTTTGGGAGCCAGTGCTTTACAGAATCCTAACCCTATTGTTCGCAAGGTTTCAAATGGCCATGCTGTTCATTTCTGTGAATCTGCTGCAGAAGAGAATAAAAACTATTTGAAAAAATATTTGCCTGTAAGTAAACCTGCAATACTATGCTTCCTAATTTTCGAAGTACCTCAAGTAGTACATACAGTAAACATGCACAATACAGTGCACATGAAGAGCTACCTTTGTCTAACAGCCTAACTCATTTTTTGGGTGGAGCACAAATCTTTTACTCAGTAACCTGGTACTGGAAACTGTGGAATGGTTGAAAGATTCTTTTGAAAGAAAAGTATTCATTTTTCAGTGAAGTTTTTTTCTAAATTCACTTTGAATTGCTGTTCAGAATGAAGTCAGAAGAGAGGTGTTAAGCAGTGCTGTTTAATATCCACCTCTGTTACCCTTGCAGATTCGTTACTTCACACATCACAGCATGAAGTATTTCTGGAATGATTCAGCTCAGAGCTTTGATGTTATACGGTAAAAATACTTTCTTCTTTTGTGTTGTGCTTGGAACAGCGTTTTTAAAAGTACAATAGCATGCCTAAAAACATGGTGAAAATTGTTGTCGTATTCTCCCCAGCTGTTTTAGCTCATCGAAGAGATTTTAACTCAGTGTGACTTTGGAAGGAGGGTTTTTGTTTAATCTACCTTTATTGAGCGTGATTCGTACAGAGTGACACGCTGTGAGCCTCTGCAGGCTGTTTGCCTGTTTTTGGAGTGTTGCTTGAGAATCCGAGCACCTCTCTATAGACAGTAGCTCTCCTATAAACCCTTAAAAACTTCCCTTCTGATGGAGTAACTTAGTTTTTTTGCATTGCCCCTGAGCTAGAGCCAAAAGGTGTATCTAGGAAGAAGGGAATTCACTGAGTACCTAGTTGCTCACCTGTTTGTAGATCTGCTGCTACATTTTAGTCCAGTTGAACTGAATTTGATCTTTTGATACTCTTTAAAACAAACACAGGTTTCTTGCACTGATAGAATATGTCTTAGTAGGCAGTACTGTCTGCACTCACTGAATGTGATGTGCTGTTTCTTTTTTATCCAGTGGCACTTTTGCATGACATTAGAGCTGAAGAAGAAAGTCTTTTTTTTCCTGGTGTTATCAATAAGGCCTTTCCATAGCGCTGTCAAGTCAGATGAACACAGGCTTCTCAGTTTTTGACAACTGCTTGTTAAAGTAAGAACTTTGGATCAGAAATATAGCTTTTTTTAACTTGAATGTTTATTGCATAGAGCCATCATATAGAAAAGTCCAAGTACTACAAGTAGGAAAAAAGTTAATGATCAGTGACTGAAGGAAAGAAAAATACTTAAAATTTCTGTAAGGAGAAAGATAATATGCAAATGTTTCTTATGTTTTTCAAAAAAAGTGTAAAAATAGCACAGAAAGTTATCAGGAATGACAACAGTTTCAAAAAATTATCATAATGCAGGCAGTTACAAAACTGAGTACTCCTCTGGGAGTGTGGAAATGTCTCAGTTCATGTGTAAATAATTAAAAGCTTTCTATAAATTTTTTATGTTAAGCCTCCCGTGAATTACAGTGGTACAGGTAGTGATGCTTGTCATTTTTCATTACAGGGTCCTATTTTTGTGCCTATAGTGTTGCTAATTTAAACTATTCAAAGGGAATATATCCCACAGTTCAGATTAAAAAAACCTCAAAACTATACTTTTATGCTAGGAACAGGTATGGGGTGAAAAAAAATCATGTGACTCCATGTGTTTGGAGAAAAAATGTTCCTTAGCATGAAAGCAGTAACTTGAAACTTGGCATTTGTTGGCTGCTTGACTGTGCTTTTTGATGTTCTTGTGATAACTCAGCCAATTTATAAGCCTTGGAAAAATCTCAGAAATGCCTGTGGAGTTATGTGAGCATTTATTCAATCACATTCTTGCTGATATGCCAAACTTTGATTTGTTTGATGTATTAGCGATGACTGAGCCTGAGCACTTGTTTAATCGGGTACTGTAGCTGAGCTGGACACCATTATGTAGCAATTGGATAATAAAGAGGAGAAAGAGCTGGATCTGAGACATACCTGATACTGGCAGAGTATTGACTCACTTTTGCACAAGGTCCAGTAAGAATGAGACTTAGCTCTAACTTTTCTCTGAAGTGAATTTAGGTATGTTCATGCAGTGAAGTACTAGATACCACCTACAAAATAATAGCTGAACTTACGCTAAATATGCTGAAGTGAAGTCTTAAAAATTTGTCCTTCATCAAGGTACTTTTTTTTAAATCTGCTTTTCAGAAATCACTAGTACCTAATAACAAGATAGAGAATCAAGTTGATATTTGTGAAGAAATGGTTTGAGGCTGAGGGCTTTACAGTAAAATCTGTGAGGCAAGCAACACAGTTACAGTTGGGATCTAAGCACAGTACTGCATCGTGCAGAGAACTGCACAGAGTGAATCTAATGATGCAAGTGTCCGGAGCCAGAACAGTTTGATCGCATGATTAAAGGCTTAGCACAATACAGAAGAGAGGGAAATTAAGATTTCTTGGGCAGCTAATTTGGTTATGAGAGCCTGAGTTTCATATCATTGTCCTTTTCATAATAACGTAATATTAAGAACACTGTTTTAAACACAGGAAATGTGAGTGTAATTGTTCTTCAACTAAATCAGGCTTGGTCATATAGCCAAAGAGGATGCAACTTTGACCTTGTATGTCTGTTTTGTTTTAGTTAGTGTGAGCTGAATCTCTGAGTGAGTTGATGAGTGGTTTATGTAATAAACTGTGTGCACACAGGGATTTTTTTAAGTGCCCTGGGAATTCAGTACTATAACAATACAGTAAAAAGCAGATAACATCCTGCTAGAACCCGTCTTTGGATGTTACACACATAGGTATGCATATTTTTATATAAAGTACTGCGTTTTAGGGATCCTTCTTAAACCCACTGTTACATTCCTTTTTGTGCAGGGAAAGAAAAATTGAATCATTTGGGATAGAATAGGAGGAAAGGCACAGCTGTTAACAGAGAACTATATATTTGTTAAACTATGAGTTTTAGATTAATAATATTTGAACTTGAAAAAATTTAGGGAAACGTTGTAAATTTGTGACCAGATGAACACATTCACCATTTTCACCTTCTGTACTTTTACAAGAAGGTGGTAGAAGCATGGTCCCAGCTTTTGCAATAGTGTGGATGTTTAAAGCTTTCCCTGTGTTCTAGAAAATAGAGGTAATTGTTGCTATATATGCACAGTAAAGACTTTTTCTCTTCAGCGGGACTACTCTGAATCCTTTTTAGTAGATAACTTAATAGATATCCAATATGAAAAAGACTTGTGTTTGAGCAGAGCTGGTTTTGTCTTGTCATCTGCAAAAGCCTTCTGGAAAGTAATGATATTTTTCCTGTGCATCCAAAGTGTGTCTGGTAGAAAATGCCTGGATATTGAGCACGATATGTCCTATTTACTAAGTTTGGTAGTTGAAATCATCCCATGGCTGTAAACATAATGATGCTTGAGGGGTGCTTGTTTATCTGCAGATTTTCTGAATTATAGCATTTGCTTTCACAGCATGTAGAAGAGTCCTGTGAAGATGAGTCTCAGTGATAAAGTAGTAGTTAGAATGTAGGCTGTACTTTGCCCAGTCATGGATAAAATTTTGATAGCCAGATGCTGCAAGTAGCTTAAGTATAGACTTATTTGATTAATTGATTAATAATGGTTTCTAAAATGCTTTCATTTGAGACAAATGAAGATATTGTGAAGAAATATCAATCCATCCTGATGTCATACAATGTTTAACAAAACTTGCTCACTTCTTTTTAGAGGCCTTTGAATACTAGTTACACCAGTCTTTATTTCATTTTTAAGTATATCTCCATTTTGATTGAAAAAGATATGACTGTCCTACAAAGTAAGATGGCACTGCTTTTAACATCTCATTGATATCTGCAGCTGTTACAAAAATAGCTAGAAAATGTTAATCCATAGAATTTGTTCTTTTATAATACACTCTAACTCTTGGTGAAGACTTAGCTCTTTTGAGTTACTGAATACTTGATTTTAATATCAATTTTCTTAAATAACTCATTGAATTTTTCCTTTACTTAGAGGTCTAGATGAATCTACATTCTGCTCTTCGATTCATAATGAACACAGCACAGGACTGACAAAGGGAATGCATGATTTCAGGTAATACTACAGTATTTAAGGAAGAATTGGTTTTATTCCATTACCTATGTTCAAAGTGGTAACAAAACTAGAAGACTATTTAGTGCTTAGTGTTTACAGATGGGCTCTTACACTTCCTTCAAAGAAGACTGTTAGATATATGAAATTCTTGTTTTACCTGTATGTTGAGTAGGAGCTAGACTCTGAAGCTGTGTTGGCTTACTTCTGTCAAACTACACTGAACATGGGAATTACTAAATTACTTTAAGCAATAGCTGCATATATTTCTGAAATTGTATTTACTCCTTAATGTTGTGAAATAAAATAAGCAAAGAAAAAGAATGGCGAGCAGTTGTGTTTTCAACCACATTGGCAGATATACAGTGAAATTTGGCAATTGCTGTAAAACAAAGCAGTTATTTTTTTTTCCACATAATTCACCTTTAAGTGACATAAGTGTTACCATAACACTGTCACTGCTGAAGGGTGTGTTTGGTTTCAGAGGCAAATAAACTGTCTCCCAGTGGAGAAGTCCATCAAGAGTTCTTTAGCTGGAAAAATGCTCATTTGTCTCAAGCTGCAGAATGTTGAAGATTTGAAGGGAACTCTGAGGTAGATGACTCTGCTGCTTCTTGGTTTCTTTGGCCCTTGGCTAGTGGTCATTGTGAGAGAGGGGTTAGTATATTAGATTGCTAACAAATATTATTGGATGCCAAGAAACAGCAAACCTGGCCTAAACTAACTAATTTCATATTTTAGGAAGATCAGGCTGGCACTTTCCAGGTCTCAGAACTTTGGCTTTAATTTTAAAATTAGAATCACAGGTGTGTCCCATGACTTGCATGGATCTGTCTTTGATTGCAGCAAAATGCATTCCCCACTTTTGATTCTGGTTGGCAAGAAATAACTAGGGAAGAAAATACTCATTTTTTTCACATGCTGTTTCAGACTAATGGTGTGAATAGGCCTATCAAGGGACACAGCTGAAGTGCATAGGCAGAGAAGAACTTGGTCTAGAAAAAAACTTTAAAATGTAACTTTAATGGTGGGTAGTTCAAGGAATTCTTAGTTCTCAAATGTGAACAACCACCTTTGGAAACAATATGATAAATAGAAGGGGCCACATATTATGTAATATTTTATACTTTCTCATATTAATGGAATTATGTGGAATAAGTTTTCTAGTAAGTTTTAACTGTCTTTCGATTTTTTTTTTTTTATAATGCAGAAAAGCATTCTATGGAGTAAATGAAATTGCTGTGAAAGTGCCTTCCATTTTTAAGCTTCTGATTAAGGAGGTAAGATCTTTTCTTTCACAAATCAAAACAAAAAAAGTATAAAATTAGAAGTTACTGCAAGTATAATGACTGTTGGCCTGGTCTCCAACTAATAGTGTAAACCAGAAACCTTTCCCCAGAGCCCCACACTATGAAGCACTGTCCAGAAATGTGAACCTTTATTACTGAGCTCCCCAAACTTTAAGTGGTCTTAGCTGTAAACTTTTCAGAGTTCACAACCTGGTGCCTTAGCAAGGATGTAAGAAAATGTGTCAGAATTCTTTGAGAGGATATTTATTTACTTTTTGTTGTTAATTTTTAACATAAACTGACCGATTGTGTTTCCATTATCAGGCCAGGTATCATACATTATAATACAAGCATCAAATCAAATGTGTTCATGCATATACTTTTGTTGGACTTGTTCCATTTTCTTTGTACCAGGTGGATTTGAAAAATTGACTTGGTATCCATATGCTATAATAATGCATGATAGAAATTTTTGAACAAACAAACTCTTCAGTCTGAACTAATGGAGTAAGAACTGGAGCGTCAGTGCATTTATTAATAAGCTATACATAATGAAACCCAAATTAATTTAAGAATGGCAACTTATGGTGCCTCAAGATGTTCCTATGATTTTGCTTTGAGGGGTAGGGGCAAATGCAACAAAAGTCTTGTACAAAGAACTGAGAAGTTTCTTGTCCATGGAGGAGGAGAGGATGATTCTGACTCTTCTGATGGAGAATGCATCTGACCTTTTGGTGTAACTTCAGTGTTCTGTCACTCTTGCAGGTTCTCAACCCTTTTTACATTTTTCAGTTGTTCAGTGTGATATTGTGGATCACTGATGAATATCACTACTATGCATTAGCAATTGTCATCATGTCTGTAATATCCATTGTTAGCTCACTCTACACCATTAGAAAGGTAAGTTGAAAGAAAACAGATGTATCTTTTCAGCTTTTTTTTTTACTGATTGGTTTATTTTGATGTGAAATTGTCAACAGTTCTCTTTGAGACCCTTCCCTGCTGACTCTGCACGCTGTTGCATCAGCAGGTTGACCTCAGATCACAGAAGCACTACCTTGCTTAAATAAAACTCAGGCACCAGTTTGTGCCACGTTGTACTGACAGTAGTGATTCCATCTTGCATTGTCTCCTGTTTGAAAAAGTCCAACGGAGTTGAGTGGATTGTTAAATTAGTGATGCGTTTTTGTCTGTAGGCTTAGCTGTACCTGCTGGAAATCAAAGTAGTAATTATCCTTAAATTGCAATCCCTGAATTCAGACCAGAAACAAACTCTCTTACCTTAATCCAGGTTTGTACAACTGTGGCAGTTTTTACTTATCTATGTTAATGACTAAATGTTTTTATAACATTTTGCATGGGAGCGGGTATTTGCTTCCAGAATGCTATTAAAAGTAGTAACTTTTACTGGTTGATACACTGAAACTTTATTTGCCCATAAGTTCTCTAACTTGTGTTTAAGCAAATGTTTTAAGTAACATTTTGTTGTAAAATAATGTTAGCAAAGAATCCAGTCACTTCTGCTTGCAGAGATAGAATGTGCATTTGGAAGACAACGAGCTGTGCTTTTAAGTAATGAACTGTTTTCTCCCCTTTTGCAGCAATATGTTATGTTACACGACATGGTAGCAGCTCACAGCATTGTCAGGGTTTCTGTCTGCAGACAAAATCAAGGTAAATTTAACACATGGTTTGGAAGGCTGAGTTTCAGCTGTTAATTAAGTGTGACTGTAAAGTTGGTGTATAATTTTCTTGGATCAGCTGGAAATGGTTGCATTTGGTAGCAAACTGCATGGGAAAAGGAAAAGTTACAAAGTGAAATTTAGATATGATAATTATCTGTTCAGGATTATCCTTCTAGGTAGTATTTTATCAAATATCATGCTTGTTCTAGATTAGGTGCTTGTCCTCTTCTTGTTCCTCATTATTTACCACTACACATATGTAACTGTCATTGTACTTCCTTTTTTGTCTTAAAGAACTGCATGCATTGGGTTTCCATTACTATGTATTACCCCAGAGGGGCTGCAAATTGATTTTTGGACTTGTGTTTATTTGGATACTACAGTAGTGGAAGGTGGTTAGATTGTGGTATCTGATACTGCTCTATAAGATGTGCTTTTGTTGGACTTGGGTCTTTATATTGAAGTTATACTGTAGTTACTTGTTAGTGTCATTTGTACAAGTTTGACTCATTTTATTTGTTACGATCAACTATGTCTATGTACTCTGGAGTTTAGTCTGTGATGGAATTGGGTGTATCAACAGCTATTTCTGTATCTTTTCAAGAAATTTTCATGATGCCATTAGTAAAATGCAGTATGGTCCTAATTATCCCCACCTGGATCTTGGCCATGAAGATCTTTATCAGATTTTGTAGATGGTGGCTATTTTCAAGTAAACTTGTTTGTGTTTGAACACACAGAAATAGAGGAGATCCTTTCCACCGACCTCGTGCCTGGGGATATCGTGTCGATTCCATCTAATGGGACTATTATGCCCTGCGATGCAGTACTTCTCAGTGGTACTTGCATTGTAAATGAGAGCATGTTAACAGGTAAAGTAAACTTGGTAGTTTTGTGTGGCTAAATGTATTAGTTAATACCTGTGTGCATGCTTAACTTGCAGTACATTCTAGCAGAAGTGGATGTGTTTAATTTTGCTTGCAATGGATACGTTCTGGCAATTACGTATGCTTCTGAGTACTTAAGTACTTGTGTTCTGCTTATCTGCACAGCTACCTGGTGGTACTTGGCAACCCCAAAAATGAGTGATGATTTCTTGTTGAAAAGCTTTCTTCTTGATAGCTTGTGTTCCTACCTCTTGACTTGCTGTTCTCAGTGCAGACTGAGTTCTGCAGTATGCGTCTTCAGAAACTTTTTGCCTAAACCTTTTAGCTGCTTCCAGGAATGAAGGTAGTGTGTAGAGTGTTCTGCAGTATTTTAAAACCAGAAATTATCTCAAGTTGTGCCTGTGTACCCTGAAACAGGGACCTGATGTATTTGAAGGACAGCTTCACTGGATAGCGTGGACTTTTTTGTTATTTTTAGGATAATACTTCCAAGCTGGCAGTGTTTAGAAAACTGTGGTTTATCATGTTCAATTTTTTTAATGTACTTGAGCCTCTTGCTGCTGCTAGCAACTGATAAAAACTGATTGCAGCCCTAGCTTTGGTGTACTCAGTCACCAAAGGAGCTGAGAATAATTTTATTCAGCTTCTAGTTTTAGTGAGTAAAGATGGGGTGCTGCCTTGCAGCAGGAGAAGAAAGCTTGTCCTGTTTTCTTTCAATGAGCAGTATTTTAGACCTATCTGATTTGAATTAAGAGGAACAGATGCTATAATGGTAACAAATAGAGGTTAATAGGATTTGGGTGAGGAATCCGGTGAGCTGGGAGACTACCGAATAACTGTACTGAAAAGAAGATGACTTATAGCAGAAGTCTGCTTCTCTGCTGATGAAGTGAGATTATATTGTTCTGCTTGAAGTCATGAAGCAAAAAATGTCTATTCTTCAATCTTACTTAGAGATTCTTTTTCCATTCAAGGTGAAAGTGTTCCTGTCACAAAGATTAATCTGCCAAATCCTTCAGAATATCCAAAAACAATGGGAGATGAAATATACAGTCCAGAAGTGCATAAACGGCATACTTTGTTCTGTGGAACCAATGTCATTCAAACCCGTTTCTACACTGGAGAATTGGTCAAAGCTCTGGTAGTGAGAACAGGTATCAGTTGTTACCTTTATCACTTGCTAATGGACCACTTGCTTTTGTAGGTGTTTGTCAGCTGATACTTTGGAATGTTGTATGTTGCTAAGCTTGAATAAATGAGTGTACCTTAAATAATTTGATAAATGTCTTACAACAGTAACAGAACTAGTTAGTGGCCTGGAGAGTATCAGTTGGCAAGCAAGAAAGTGAATCAGTCTTTAGCATCAATTTAAAACTTAACTGAATCAATTTCAAAGTCCTAGCTTTCTCTTACAGTGTGTTGGTTGAACTACATATGCCTCTCTGAAAAGGTTTGGCATACCATTGGTCTATGTGGGTACCAGGGAACAGCTTATTTTAGTGGAGTCTTTGGCAGTGTCACATGGTTTTCTTTCCCCATAGTTTTGTCAAAGCACATAACATCTGATTAAATGTTTGATCGAGCCCTTTCTACAGAAGTGCTTATTCATAGTAACATGTTAAAGGTGTGCTTTTAGATAATACAGGTGTTCTATTAAAATAATTGCAGACTAATGTAGTTGCAGGATTCTGCTTCACAAGGGTGATGTTAAGAAAACCGTCACAAAATAGATGAATGTGAGTTATAATTGAAGCTGCAATAAAGTTTGAAATAATAAATTTGACTACATTGACTAGAATACTACTTAAAGCCAGCTTTCCAGCAAGAACCTTTATCCTAATTAGCCTCTTTCTGTGGTGTCTTATCTTCACCTTCTGATTTAGCAGTAAATGATCTGATTTTTTAAAAATTAAATTCATTGATGTCTTTCTAGGCTTTTATTAGTCTTTTTTCAAAGAAAAATATTTCCCTTCCCTTGAACACAGCCCTTTAATAATATCCATCTCAACTTCTTTTGGCATGATGATATGTAGACAGGTGATCCAAGACAGCAACAGAAATGAACTGCTGAAGACTTATTTCTTCTGCTCTGCAGACAGGATAATGATTTTTTAAAAGTGTGAAACTGAGCTGAAACTCTTACAAGGAGAGCTGTAATTGCTCCCAACTCGCTGAGCTTTACTGCCCTGACGTCTGATGTCATTGTTTTAATCTGCCCTTTGCCCATGACAAGTCAGAGTTAGCTCCTATGCTGTAAACAGGATGTATTTAACCCTGTGGACCTTGTTCACGTTTTATGTGTGGACAAGTACGCTTTTCCTGCCCTGACTATATAGAGAGAGGAGCAAAGGGATCAAAAATCCTTTCTGCTGTCCTGTCTGGTTTAGAGGGATGGCTTTTAGGCAGCTAGGGAATTTCCCACTCTACTGAACTGGATACATGTCCACTGGCACTTGTAACTTCTTGCTCCTAAGATGTCCATGATAAGAACTAAAGTAATTCTGACCTAGTGAGGTACAAGTAAAAATCCCTTTATCTGAGGGAGGGGGATGCCACAAAGTGGAGGATACTAGAAAATGTAGTCCTTCAATGCATTCTAGGAGAGCAGAACTCCATATAGTTGTGTACAAAGACAACTATAAAGCCAAATATTAAGTATGGATATAAGAGTAATCTGCTGGGACCCTACTCACAGTACTCTTCAGAGTTAAGCCTTTATCATGAAACGTTTGATGTTACAGCTGAAATATACAGAAAACACCAATTAATTAAATGTTTATGGGTTTTTAGTTCATGGATATGTTAGTATATATGTCATTGTGGCTCCTATTGTAAAGAATTCAAGACTGGTAACTTTTTTTTTTAGGGAGCAGAAATGTTCACTGAAACTGTCTGCATGTCCTGTGTGTTCTCAAGACACCACATGAATTTTTACAATTTGTTTTACCCTGGTGTGTTCCAGCCTATATGGCTACAATACCTTTTGCAAAACTGTTTAAAACAAAAAAATCAAGAGTTCTGATTTTTTTTTTTTTGAATGCTGTGTTGAATTAGCCTTCATGACTAACTACTCAAGTACTTAAAGATACTAAGAGATCTCAGTTACACACTGAGATGATGAACTTCTGAAGAGGCCCATGGTTTGTATTCTGCAGTAGCATGTTTAAAGCCTGCAGGTTTCACACCTTGTTTCTCTTGTGATGAACTCATCCTCTTAAGCCTGATGCAATAGCTGCTTTGTTCTGTTAGTCTTGTATCCAAAGGTCAGCATGGAGGCCTTAGCCTTTGCTGTGGTGGCTTGCAGGCTGAGGATTTGTCAAGGAGCTGTCATTTAGGCCTGCAGACCTGACATTGATACTGAAGGTTCTAGCAATAGACTTTGACGTCTAATCAGATACAGAATGTTTCAGGCATAGAAAACTGGGCTCTGGTGTTGGCCTGTTCACATTTTGAGGCAAAGATGCAAGGAGGATCTCAGAGGATCCAAGGAGGATCTGTTGGTTGTCTGACTCCAAGGCCCTTAGGAGTCTTGTCTCCTAGTTTAAATGTCAAAATGTGATCAAGAGGTGGGTTTCTCCAAAAGATGACTTTGTGCACTGCAGTTTTTTTCTGAGTCTTTTTTTTCCTGGCTGTTAAGGAAGCTTGCAGAGACATGCCTGTTAAATATGGTTGGACTCTATGAGTAACTTAGTTTTCTTTTTGCACAGATTGGCTTAATTGGACAACTTGTAAATATACCCACCAGCTCTGCACTGAGGGGCAACGTGCAGTACAACAAACTCTTCCAGGCCAAACCATTTGAGGGTTTACTGGTGCTGCAGAAGAGGGACTCATTTGCAGCAGCCCCATGTCCTTGCCATAGGAGACAAGCACTTAGTATGATGTGCACGTACATTTCTGAAGCACGTTAATTACAATATTGCAAAACATCTATTCCTGTATATTGAGAAACAGTCTTAATGAAATGAGTAGCTTAAGGGTTTCGTTGAGTTTTTTTAATATATTTGGGTAGCTTTACTCTCGTTTATACTTCTAACAACTTTTAATTTTTCATTTCTAGGCTTCAGTACTGCTAAAGGACAGCTTATTCGTTCCATATTATATCCAAAACCAACTGATTTTAAACTCTACAGAGATGCCTATTTGTTTCTCCTGTCCCTGGTAGTAGTGGCAGGCATTGGGTTTCTTTACACGATTGTCAATAGCATCTTAAATGAGGTATGTTTGATTTGCTGGGCCAGAGCCACCTTATTTTAGAAAAGGGTTGATCATGGTTTCCAACACAATTCAGATAATGAGAAACAGTTTTTTATAAGTGAGAATTTCTTTGCTCTGTTTTGTGTAAATGGGGGGAGAGAGTCAAGCTTACAGACAACAAAATTCAGCAGAGAAGCAGAATTTGAGTGTATTAAAGTGAAATTTGCTTTTACCTCAGTTTTTATTGACCCAGTTACCAGACTTCTGTCTTTATTATATTTAATATTACCATCTGGCTGATAAACAGTTTGAAGAAATAGGATACGGCACGCCTCAAGCAAGCTGAAGGAAAACAAATCTTTACCAAGGAATTGATAACTGATAACCTAACAATTGTAGCTTTTTCTTTAAAAAAAAAATTGTTATTCAGTTACTGTTTTGAAGTCATATTTGCAGGGAAAAGTGAAAACTTGAAGTTATGGGCTGTGGATAATTCAGGACTGGATTATCATGGTTGGTGATGGTAGGTGAAGACTGTGTGCTAGGTTTCTGGTCAGAAAAGTGCTGTACTGAGGAAAGCAACGTGTGGATTTTGTTTTTGGTAATGCTGTTGTAACACTAGAGCAGGATAATGAACCTTAAGTGGCGAGTTCTTGTTCACTAACACTGACCTTTATTGCAGGTTCCAGTTCATACCATCATCATAGAGTCTCTTGACATCATCACGATCACGGTGCCTCCAGCACTCCCTGCTGCCATGACTGCGGGCATTGTTTATGCACAAAGAAGGCTGAAAAAAATTGGCATTTTCTGCATCAGCCCGCAAAGGATAAATATTTGTGGCCAGCTGAATCTTGTGTGCTTTGATAAGGTTAGGTGAATTTTGAATCTTTGTTTCCACCTGGAGAAGTGTTGTATTATAAATGGGAATTTGTATAGTCTGTATTATAATACAGAGCAGCTTCCTTATGTCAAGAGCCCAAAGTCCTAACTTATTGGTACCCCAAAATTGTGAGAGTTGAGGTCTTTTTAGAGTTTTTAGTACACAGACATCTGGAAGATTGAAGTGTGAACTCACACTTGGTTTTCATTTTCATTTATTTCTATGAAAAGCCAAACTGACATTTTATTATTCCTTAACAGAAACATGAGTGAAATAGAGTAATGACACTAGCCAGAATCCTTTGCTTTCAGATCATTATTAGATAAAATTTATTTTTTTCCTTAGATTTTTATCTAAAATTCTAAGTACCCACATTAAATTTCTTTCCCTTGTAAATACATTCCAGTTACTGTTTTACCTATGTAAGAAAATAGTGCTAAGGGTTTCATACCTACCTTCTGTTGCCCCCAACCCCTTATTATAGGGATGTTGGATTTTAAGGGTCTGTTTCATTTGTCTTGTCCCCAGGTAGGAGCATGTTTGCTTTGAATGTTGGGGTTTTTTGTTATTTAACAGAGCTGGAACCCTGAAGTCTAGATTTTTTAAGTCAAAACAAAATAGAATGTATTATTTGGGTGTAATTTGGTTAATTAGCTGTTCATTTTTGCTTTACTTGGGGATAACTTATTTCTGAAGGCTTTTTTTCCTTACTCTGCCCCTTGTTTTATTTTGCAGACTGGCACGCTTACTGAGGATGGCTTGGATCTTTGGGGAATTCAGCGGGTGGAAAATGCTCGGTAAGGGTAAGCTCAGAGCTGCTAGCAAACATGAAGCTTAGCTGTGCTTTAACAGCTTCAGCAGAATGGAATAGAAAATTCAGTGTGAGCTCATGTGTTTGCGTTTCTGTAATGAATTGTAAGGATGCAATGGAAAGTATGGTTTAGGTGTAATGAAAGTTATAACTCGCTTCTGAGGCTGAGGTGGAATTTAATTTGTTAGTCTGACACCTCATTAGGCTCATACTGCAGAAATGATACATTTAAATATAGCGTGTTTCCTTAATCCTGTCCTCCAAAGTGATGACTTTTTGGGCTGCTAAAGTGAATTAGCTTAGTTAATTGAGTTAAGTATAAAGTGATAAGAGCCCTCTGTACGAGGAATTAAACTGGGCAGCAAATAACACAGAGTTTTTAAAGGAGACAGGTTGTGACTGTTTCTGATGATTCCAGCCCAGAGTCTTAATCTGCTCTCTGTGATGTGTGAAAATACAAGTGAAGAGACTTGTGCAGTCAATTTTCTTCTGTTAATCTAAACAAGCCTTTTGAATTGGCTCATAATAAATAATTATGGTGCTAAGTATATTATGACTTCATTGTTTCAGTTTCCTTTTGCCGGAAGAGAGGGCTTGCAGTGAGAGCTTGCTGAAGTCTGAGTTCGTTGCTTGCATGGCAACTTGTCATTCCCTTACAAAAATTGAAGGAGTGCTTTCTGGGGATCCACTTGATTTGAAGATGTTTGAAGCAATAGGATGGGTAAGTGTCTGCTTGTTTCAAGAGATGCAATGTTTTAAAGATCAGTAATCAGAAATTTCCCACACTGTTACATGCAGGATAAGCCATTCGATGCTGTTTCAAGCTCTGACTGTAAACTGGTGAGCTTTTGACAATGCCTTTATGTCAAAGGAAGTCTTAGTATGAAAATGTTGCACAGAACACATTTTAGGAACGATTCATAGAACTGAAAGAATCTGAAGAGCTAATTTACTGCTTTCTGATGTGTGCATGGGAAGCTTTCAATACATACAATAAACATGTAAAATAGCTAAGTGGATCTTAGAGTTAACTGCTAATTAAAACCCTAAATTCTCACAGGAAATCTTGCTTAGAAAGATCGTTGCACCTTGGGCTGACTTCCAAGCCTGTGTTGTTTTTTTTTTTCTGAAAATTACATTGAGAAAATCAGCATTACAGGATGTGTAAAATTAGTTGATTATTTTTAATACAGATTTTAGAAGAAGCAACTGAAGAGGAAACAGCACTTCATAATCGAATCATGCCAACAGTGGTTCGACCTTCAAAACAACTTTTTCCAGAATCCAAGCAAGCAACAAATCAAGAAATGGTACAAAAATTCAAAGCAATTCTTTGAGTTAAAGTAATCCTTTGTGTGAAATAAATACCTTTTACTGTATGCTGTGTTTCTGGCTGATAAAATTCAAACAGAATCAGAACTGTGGGTTTTGGGGGCAAAGACAAGAGAAGACCTGTTTAAATCTGTTGATGGTAGTGGTTCAGTGTGTGCCATTTTTGAGGTGAGCAGACTGATTGTCAGCATTATTACTCTTATGGACTAATTATAAAGTGCTGTAATGCTTTTTGAGCTTACACATTTTAATACTAGCATCATTACCAGATTTTACTGTGCCCATAACGTGCTTAGGTGCACTTACCTCACAATTTTAGTTAAAACAGTTGTTAATGTCTCTGCATGGCATGGAATTCTAGCCACTGCTGAGATATATGCTTTACCTCCTTTGAGAGCTATGCTTTAATTAAACACTGATTTAAAAATAAAGTGAAATTGACACATTTGAAATTTTCTTCTGTCTGCATTTTGAAGTATGTTTTAATACTTATAATACATATAAGTCATTTGACTGTATATCCAGATTATCAGAGAGCAGAGTGGTGGGAGTGCATAGCAAGTTGGTTCCTCTGCATGACTCTTATTCTGTAGTAGATTGAAGCATCTTTTTTTTGTTGCAAACTCAGGGTTACTTGCACAGCAGTAATTACTGTGCAATAGTTGATGTGAGCATTCTTGAAACCTACTACATGATTTTTTGGGCAACATATGTAATAATCACAGCCTCATTATAAAATACTATGATACCTTAATTGTTTACACAAACTAAACAAACACAGGTTGAACTGTGAAAGGTCTTGCAAGTTCTAATCGAGAAATCAAGCTTGGGAGTTCTACTGTGTCTCACTTTAAACAATACTGAACAGATGCAGTATTTTCATATTTAACTTCTAGGAAATTTATTGCAAATGAAAAGTGATTTTATATGGAGAGTGCTGTATAGATTAATTTACTGATTTAAGTTGAAATAGTTTGTAGCTAAAAAAATAATGTTTATAGTAAATGTATTTTTTCTTTTTTTTAGGAATTGTTTGAGCTTTCGGTAAGTATGCTTTTTCAGTTAAGCATGTATCCCTTCTCCTAGAAGGTTTGTGGATGTAACCCTTTCTTTATTCCTTCCTTCCTGTATGACACAGAGCAGTTATGAGATTGGAATTGTGCGCCAGTTTCCATTTTCTTCAGTTTTGCAGCGTATGTGTGTAATAGCAAGAGTTCTAGGAGAGAAGAGAATGGATGCTTACATGAAAGGTGCCCCTGAAGTGATTGCCAGCTTGTGTAAGCAGGAGACAGGTAAAGGAAGAAACTATTTTTATTTCTCGTGTAGCTCAGCTGTAATATGACGAATTTTAATAATTCTAAACTTGACCTTTTTAAAGTTCCTGTTGACTTTGAGTGTGTCCTGGAAGAATACACTAAGCAGGGCTTCCGAGTTATTGCTCTTGCTCACAGAAAATTGGAGTCTAAGCTTACATGGCACAAAGTCCAGACTATTAATAGGTAAGAGTGACTTCACTTTTTTAATAAGTAACAGGCTTTAAAAGCTGCATGCTTTGGATTAAATACGTAATGTTTATTTTTGTTTAAACCAATTACTACTTATCTTTAGCTTTCTTCTGTCTTGACATAAATAGTTTTATGAAGTCTTTATTTGTACTGTGGGCAATTTGTGGAAATTCAAGATAAAGGAGTTTTTCTGCAGTAATATAACTTCTGAGGAACATCTTTAAGCTTGAAATAGAACTGAATTTTTTTTTTTTTTTTGATGTGGCAGAAAACTTCATCCTCTTTCTTTGTTACTTGAACATATTTGTTACCTGTGTCTATTAAAGATTACGGCATGTAGTGGGAACCCTCCTGTGCATGTTTAGTCTCTTCATCTGCTATAGGCAGCATGTCCATTTTCTCATTGCAAAGTTTGTCAGAAAGGTTTGAAAGGTAGAAGGGTTTCTTACTTCAAAAAGTAGTATTTCCTTTTAATTATTTTTGAGCTGATCCTGGTTTTGTGGATAATGCTGTCTTTTCCTGTAGTGTTTGGAAGTGTAGCATTGCTATGAAGATGCCAGCTTTGAATCTGTTGTTTTCTCTCAGCTCCTTGTACAAGATAAACTTTTTGCAAAGCAGTACAAAGTGGGTTTTCCAGTTTCAGGTGTGAAAAGCTACAGTAGCAGTAAAACACCCAAGACCTGTAAATACACTGACTGTCATGTAAACCAAAGTTAATTAGTTGCTTTACTTAATTAGCTAATGTCTATTAATCTTGCTAGCCTTAGTAATTTAATTTAGCTTGTATATTAAAGTTCTGCTAATTCGGAAATTAGATGTGCACTCTAAACAAATCTGAAAATTTGGTTGTGAATGCAGTTAGGTTCAATGCTTTTTCTAGCAACAACTAGAGAATGTAATTTCTTCCAGACATTTTTCATGGAAGAAACTAAAAATTGTTTTTGAGAGGAAACATTTTCTCATACTGGCTTTCAGTTAAAACACGGGAAATAAGTATAAATGATTATGGATTATTATATCTCTCAGGTCAGTTTATAAAACAAATTCTTCACTTTTCACAGTTAAAAATAAACATTTCCCTTTGGTAAACAAAGTCAAGCTCTTTAACTGACATTTAATAATTTTAACGCTTCTAACATTCTCTTCCTTGCCTCCTTTTCTACAGAGATGCTATTGAAAGCAACATGGATTTTATGGGGTTAATTATAATGCAAAACAAGCTAAAGCAAGAAACCCCTGCTGTACTTGAAGATTTGCATAAAGCCAACATTCGCACTGTCATGGTTACAGGTTAGCATGTAAATACTCATACTCAAAACAGAAAAATCCATCTCTTTTTGGTCTTATTTTAATTACAGTGTGTGAAGTCAAATTTTAATGTCAATAGGCTGGGATTCACACTGTATTTACAGCAGGAGGGAAGTTGAGAAACTATTGTGAGAGTAAGTCACTTCAGATAATTTATTTTTTTTGAATTGTAAGAATGAGTTATGACCTGGTAAGCAGGCCAGGTGTCTGTGCTCAGTGCTTTCCATGCAGTGTGCATTTGTTTTTTAAATCACAGGTATGGCAACTATGGATTAGTGTTTTGATAGGCTAGCAAGACAACTCAGTGTTTGCATGTTCTTTGTCTGTGTTTAAAAACAATATTTTAAATGTCTGCATGTTTTCTGCCTGATTTTTCAATACACACTAAGATTAGGTCAGCAAGAGATCTTTATGGCTGAAAGAAGCATACAAAGTTTCTAGTGATGTTAGTGCAGGGGAGGGTTTTAATGGGGCTAGGCTTTGAGTTCTTTCTGTTGGCTTGGTTTGCCCTGAAGTGGTCACTGGTACTTTAGTCAGTCCTCCTCCTAGTTTAAAACTGGCTTTGTTAGCTTTTCTCTTACATAGAATACCAGTATAAACTATTGACCCTTTTCTAACTGAAACCTTTTAAAATGTAATTGTTTAACAGGGGATAACATGTTAACTGCTATCTCTGTGGCCAGAGACTGTAGAATGATTCTACCTCAGGATAAGGTCATTATTGCTGAAGCACTACCTCCGAAGGATGGGCAGGCTGCCAGGATCAACTGGCATTATGCAGATACCCTCACAAAATGCACTAGTTCATCACCAGCCATAAACTCAGAGGTAACATGAGTGTCATTGTGCCCTTAGTGTAACAGTTAGTTTTACTGTCGAGTTTCTTTTTTGTTTTTGTCTTTTACTGATAAATAGCAAATCTGTTGCTAAGTGTCACATCGAAATTGCTGTGCTAGTTAAATTCCAGATCTTAAAATACCAAAGAGTAGTAAAACAGATGGGAGGAGCTTATTTTTAAACTGTTACATTTGACATTTTACTTGTGTAGAAGTCAGATTTTTTTTTTCCAGGTTTCGTTCTATTAAGACTGCTCTAGTTGTTTTTAGTTGAAACATTAAACCACACTTTCTTATCATTAAATAAGTGTTTTCATTGGATGAGGTTTTCAAATAACATTCTTAGAAGCCTCCTCTAGTGTTGAATCTCTAAGAACCTCCAGCTCTGAGTATTAGCTAGAAATTATAAGGTATCTGTATAAAGCACTACAGCTAGAATATTAAACTACATTTGATAGGATATTCCAGTTAAATTGGTGAATGAAAGCCTTGAGGATCTCCAGATGACCAAATACCATTTTGCAATGAATGGAAAGTCATTTGCAGTGATTCTGGAGCATTTTCAGGACCTGCTACCCAAGGTGAGCATTATACTTGAGTATGGGCACTTTTGAGGGTGAACAGACTTTGCCCTGTGAATATTAAGAAACCAGAATTCTGTCTTCCAGCTTGTGTTACATGGCACTGTGTTTGCTCGCATGGCACCTGATCAGAAAACTCAGCTGGTGGAAGCTTTACAAAATGTAGAGTAAGTATTTACTTAAGCATAGAAAGAGGGAGGGTTGACAGAGAATTTGATGTGATAGGAGGAAAAAATTATAGGGTGCTGTTTTGCCAAATAAAAAAGCTTGGGCTACTGTAACTACCTTGAGTTGGTAAATCAGCCTGTTAGCTGAGCAGGAATGAGAGTAGTACCATCTGCTGGCTAGTTGTGAAAGTTTCAAACTCTTCATGAAGTTATAAATGAGTAACTAAAATGACTAATGTTTTATATATCTGGAACATATTTTATAAATCTGGTTGTTTGGCTTAAAAATACATCAAATGTCTTCTATGTATTAAGGAAGTATTCAGGAGATGACTTCTGCTCACATATGGTCAGTGACCTGCTGTCTGTTGGTGTCAGAACTTGCAGCTATACAAAATCCTACAGAAGTCTCTTTGCCTAGAGCCAAGGTGCTTTAAACCACCTAGAAGTGCAAGAGTGCTGATAACCATTAGTGCTTTGATTGACCTAAGTCATGTCACTTTTCTACTTTCTTACATATATAATGGCAACAGCAATTGCTTTTGGCATTAATGGTCACTCGCTACTATACAAACTAAGTCAAATAGTATAGAAGTATTTAATGAAATATACTAAATGGACTGTGATTAGGGAATGGTCCAGAAAGCTGACATCCGTTTGGTTTTTGTAGTTACTATGTGGGCATGTGTGGAGATGGAGCAAATGACTGTGGTGTAAGTATATTTTCATTTTCCC